GTTTTCGCAAAATAAATGCAACGGTCTTACATTAAAAAGCTGGAAAAAAATATCCATTATAAATGATCTTTGAAGGTTCGTAAGCACAACTATTGTAATGGCATTTCAATCCGTGTGGACAAAGGTTCGTTTTGTTTATTACGTAAAAATAATTCGAAAAAAAAAAAACCTTTTTTATTGCCGATATTGATAATTAATATTAGCATCAGTTTTATGGGGACGATATTTGTTCTGGTTCTTTATATAATCTCCTGGACTTTTTCACATTCTTAAAAAAAAAAAAAAAAAGAGAAGCAAAGATCAACAACACATATATTCTCCCTCTTCTGCATTGTGTCTTGAATTGTGTAAATTGAACTATAAGACTTCTTAAGAAACTGGGCACATTCCATAATCACATCATGCGAATCATGACCAACAATCACGTAACGTAAAGATCGGACAAGTATACAAACCCTTCTGGACATTATTTACATTATTCGGACTATTGTCTTCATCTTTATCGCCATGTTTATAACAACGTTTCGGCCGTTGTACGTTCCGTTCTTCTTCAGGTACTTGGAATGTAGAACTGAATCCTTTTATTTCGCTCACTGAGGTAGATTGTTCTAGTTCCACACTAGAACAGTTTACCCCAATTCGCTGTGATGCATGTGTTTGGTATACTCTTATTAGACTGGATGTCATGGATGGGCTGGTTGGGCTTTGGATATTTATACCCCACCTTTACTCAATAATATTAAAAAGGAATTATTTTTAGAACACAATAAACCAGATATCGTCCTCCAGGATAAACAAAAAAAAGATTTGTTTCCTGATAGAATATTGAAAAAATATTGGAAGAGTTACGCCAATCATTTTGTTTAATAATAATAATAATAGTTGGTGTGGTTGTTAGTTTAAATTATAAGATGAGCAAGGCGACTTGGGGGTCACATCTAGATACTTGGAAACACACTTAATCAGAGATTGTCTGAGCGGACTGGGTTACTCGACCTGAAGCTATTTCTAACAGTGATGTGCTATTTCATCAAAACCTGTCTCCACGCACATTTGGCTGTGATGCATGTGCTTTCCAACTCTTATTAAACTGGATGTCATGGATGGGCTGGTTGGGCTTCGGATATTTATACCCCACCTTTACTCAATAATATTAAAAAGGAATTATATTTAGAACACAACAAACTAGATATCGTCCTGCAGAAGAAAAAAAAAAAAATTGCTTCCTGGTAGAAATCTCTTGCCCATTTCACATGAGAAATGAAAATAAGAAAAAGGAGAAAATCGACAACTACAACGATTTAAAGTATGAAATACTGAATGTTTGTTTTTACAGGTGATCTCCATTTGGATACATGGATTTGTATAGGAACGGCAATCATACATCCCATATATACCTCCCAGAAATACCTCCACAAAATGGTAAAACATTATAGTGTCAATGATGTCTTCATGTAGCTAATGACTTACCATTATGTACGAAGTATTTCTGGAAGGCATATGTCTGAGGTATTTCTCTCGAACCGTGTATAATCATTAATGATCAAATTAAAAATAAACAGAAATGATAAATTTCTAAAATCAAGATTAGTTTTAAACACTTTAGTAACTAATAAATTATATTTTTAAAGGAAATGGACTTTGCTTCTTACTAATACAATCTACAATAAAATACTTGAGCTATTTTGACAGTGGGATTATCCGATACAAATAATGACAATATTAAACCAGATATCGTCATGCTGGACAAACAGAAAAAGATTTTCTTCTTGAAAGAAATATTCTGCCAACCAACCTGACATGACAAGTGAAAATAAGAAAAAAAAAAACAAAATCGATAAATACAAGGATTTAAAGTGTGAAATTCTGAAAGTTTGGAAAGACTAACCAAGAAAGTAATTGCAACACAAGTGATCATTGGAACACTGGACTATTGGAGAACAAACATGGTAAAAAAAAACTTGCAGATATTGGATAGGCATTTGTAAATGGAGCCATTAACAAGCCTTGTCAACTCAGAACAGGGAGGATTCTTTGGAAAGGATTGCAACCTTTTAGTGAACGGTTTATTTTCTTATTTTCTTCAAATTCTCGAGAGGTGGACTGAAAACAAATCTATCTATCTATCTATCTATCTATCTATCTATCTATCTATCTATCTATCTATCTATCTATCTATCTATCTCAGTCTCTTCATATTTATCTATATTATATATTTCTATTTCTGTTTGTATGTCTGTCTATCTGTTGTGAGACCGTAACATACCTACAACATGGACTATTCCAGGACTATATAAAGTATGCGATATGTGTATGTGCCTTGAATTGTGTAAATTGAACTATAAGACTTCTTAAGAAACTGGGAACATTCCATAATTACATCATGCGAATTATGACCAACAGTCACGTAACATAAAGTCATAACACTCTAAGAGAAGAGGAGGAAAGAGAGGGAGAGAGAGTATTCTAATACCGTACTATCAGCCGCGTACGGCTACCAATATTGGACACTAGCACACAGTAAGCTCCGCTTACACTTACACTACCTTTGTAACCTTTTTGTTTAATATATCTTTCTTACCTCTAATCCATGTTCCGTGTTTTCCTTCCGTGGTCCCAACTTTGGGCCCACATCACTATCAGTCTATCTATAACAAATTTTTTCTTTCTTTCTTTTTCTACTGGATTGTGATTTGTAAACGGAACCATTACAAAAGCCTTGTCTGCTCAGAACGGAGAGGATTCTTAGGAAAGGATTTGATACAGCCTAGCAGGGAAAAGACTCCCTTAAAGTGACGAGAGGTGGACTGAAAATAAATCTATCTAAATTATTTATTTATATTTCTGTCTATCTATCTATCTACCTATCTATCTATCTATCTATCTCAATTCTTTCTATTTCCATCGTATTGTGATTTGTAAATGGCGCCATTACAAAAGCCTTGCCTGCTCGGAACAGAGAGGATTCTCCGGAAAGGATTGGCTGTAGCCTATCAGGGAAAAGACTTCCTTAAAGTGACGAGAGGTGGACTGAAAGTATATCTATCTATCTATCTATCTATCTATCTATCTATCTATCTATCTATCTATCTATCTCAATTCTTCTTATTGCTAGCTATCTAAATTATTTATTTCTATTTCTGTCTGTCTCAATTTTTCCTTTCTTTCTATTTTTATCGGATTGTGATTTGTAAATGGAGCCATTACAAAAGCCTTGCCTGCATGGAACGGGGAGGATTCTTCGGAAAGGATTTCTTATAGCCTATCAGGAAAAAGACTTCCTTAAAAGGAAGAGAGGTGGACTGAAAATAAATCTATCTAAATTATTTATCTATCTATCTATCTATCTATCTATCTCAATTCTTTCTTACATTCTTTCTATTTCTATCTATCTAAATTCATTTCTTTCTTTCATCGTTTCTTTCTAAACTACTGGATTGAATAGCAAAGAGAAAATCCTGTGGGATATTTCGATAGAAAAAGGGAGAAATTTGGAGCATAATAAACCATATATATAGTCCCGCTGGACAAAGAGAAAAAGTTTTGCTTCCTGACAAATATTTCCCGCCAACCTAACATGAGATGTGAAAATAATGGAAGTAAAAGATCGAAAACTACAAAGATTTAAAGCGACAGTCTTTGCCAAACTGTTAGCGGTTGCCACCTTCTTGCGTATCAAAACAAACCTAAAACCCTTCCCCAAATTTATGGTCAACCTTTATTGGGTTTTCTTAGTACTCGCATTGCATGTCAAATGATTATCTTCGTGTTTCTTCTGGTAATTGTTATATAAATAGGACACACTGACTACTTGTGAAGGCAGGACACATTTCAAGTAGACATCATCATCATCATCCTGCGGCCTCAGCCGAGATTGAACTCACTACACCTCTCCAGTATTCCCTATCTGTCATAGCTCCTTAAAGATCTTCCTTAGGGATCAATGTGTCTCGTTTTATCCTATCTGGAAAGGTTAACTTGCGTGATCAATTGTCAGATGATGGGTGCCTCCAGAGTACAAATGATGACACAGGTTCATCTGTGGCACGTGCACAATGCCCGGCGAACTGAACACGTCTCTTACAAACTAAAGTTGATACTTTTGGCAAGTCACCATATATCCTTTCTAGAGTTGGGCGGTTTCGCCATGAGAGATTAAGCACTCTTCTTAAAAGACGTGTATAACATCCATCTAAACGACGTTGTTGTTTTGCTGAGAGCGTCCAAGTTTCAGAGCCATAGAGTAAGATTGGCTCAATAAGTACGCGGAAAAGTTGGATTTTGAATTGACGAGCAAGATTGGATTTCCAGATCTTATCCATTTTGTTACAAGCAGTCCATGCTATGCCTTTTCTAATGTTGAAGTCTTTCTCAGAGTTCTTGATGTGTGATCCTAGATACTTGTAGTCTTCGACACATTTGACGATGTTATCTGAGAGTGTTTTGATCTCATGATTGTTGCGAATGTTAATTGGCGTACACTCAGTTTTGGTTTCATTTAGGTCTAGACCTGCACAGTTAGCTGCTGATTCAAGAGAAGAAAGGAGTGCTTGGGCACTAATGAGGTTGTCAGACAACAGTGCAAGTAGACTGCGTGTGTTGGTGGTGTATGTTATGACTCAAATGTGTCACTGCCACCCTCTGGCTTTCCCCTTTTTCCTCCCCACCACCTGGATCTTTCAACAGCCCCCGGGAGGGTTACCGTCCATTTTGGGAATGTTCAAATTTGGAAAGGACTTGCAAATTCATTGATTTTGTTTTTTACGGCTTATCGACCCTTTACAGGTTATTTAAAACGAAAAAGTATTTTTAGATTGTAAGAATTTTTTGGAGCTAATAATTTAACAATACATGTCCTACTTTTTAACCCATAGGTGGGAGCAAGAAGAGGTGGATTCGTAACTTTCCCAAGTGTATTTACGCGTATGTGAATATAAAGAACCCGACGCTCCTATTAAAAATTCCGAGCCATTGTCAATTACACCACCCGCACACCTATGCTTACAGCAGCTGGTATTCCCAAGCGATCACCCATCTAGGTACTGACCAGGCTCGACGTTTCTTAACTTCGGTGATCGTACGAGAACTGGTTCTAAAGTGATATGGCTGTAATCCAGGTCTAGCAAAGAAAGTACCAAGAATTCTTTTAAAATAGGGGTTTTTCTAAATTTTTTTTTTACTATATATATATATATATATATATAGTTTAAAAAATTAGGAAATGCCACCTAGTTTTATATATATAATATCGCACATTGAGTGCTGGTCTTAATAAAATAGTGCTCGATATAATATGGCAGAACTATAAATTATATATTAATAAATATACGTTTTTCCTCACTTGTAGTACAACTAGAAATTCCATGCACAACGTAATCTTCAGGCGCTGAATTGTGACTCAGTTCAAAACTCTGAATCCCTAACCGTGGAGAAGAAAACGGAAGACCCTATAACTGAGTAATCACTTCGTTCATCATTGAGTGCTCCAGACTTGCAGCCTTGTGCCACATCTAATCTACACTTAGTAAATCACAACGAAAAAGTGGTGTAATGGTTAACAAGCTTGTCTCACTATATCAATTACTGTGAAGCTTCAGTTCTCAAGCATTTTCATGAATTGAGTCAGTGAGCATTTAAAAGAGGAATGGCGAATCCTCAGTTCTCGAGTTTGCGTAAGCAAATACGGTTGTCATGGTGCAGCGTGATTTTCGAAGGCAATTCGACATGAATCCGCCCTCTCCAAACATTCGACGGTGGTTTAAAAAGTTTTCAAGAGAGTGGGTGTCTGTATAAAGGAAAAAGTCAATGATGATCACGTGTTTCGGAGGAACAAGTTGCGTGAATCCGTGCTGCGTTTGAGTTTGAGTTAACTGAGTTACAAAAATTTCTTGCAACCTCAAACCACTATCTCGTGGATAAACTTTACAGACTACTTTTATTACCAAGATTTGCATACGTCTGGAGATCCGAGGCCTTCTGTTATTCTTTCGGGGTTGATGTTTATGTTCCGCCACTAGCAATTGATGACCTAAACAGGAAATAAAACAGCGATCAACTCAGTTGATTGTGATACGTCTGGTAGAAATATTGTGAACTTGGCTTTTTTCTTGGCTGGAGTTTTCTATTGCTTTTCCTTATTAAAATATTGCGTAATGGATCGGTTCATTCTTTTTTTTTCCGTCCTTAGTATGACGATAAACTACATCCGCGTCCTGGGTAAAACGATAAACTACATCTGCGTCCTGGGTAAGAAGATAAACTACATCCGCGCCCAAGGTAAGACGATAAACTACATCTGCGTCCAGGGTAAGACGATAAACTACATCTGCGTCCTGGGTATGACGATAAACTGCATCCGCGTCCTGGGTAAGACGATAAACTGCATCCGCGTCCTGGGTATGACGATAAACTTCATCTGCGTTTTGATTAACGTGGAACGACTTTTAATTGTTGATGTTCCCAGGTCCACCCTGACCCGGGGTGGTAGCACCTGTTAGGGTCCCAGCTATGGACAAATAGTTAATCCCCAAACTGGGGTCAAAACGCTAGGAAAGTGTAAAAATAAGATTTAATACCAGAAATACTTTGTAAAAAAATAAAATAATACCAACAATACATTTTTGAAAAACAAATATTACTAGTGAAGGAAAATTCTTACCAGAAATAGATTTTTGAAGGAAAAAATATATTACTAATAATGAAAATTTTATCGGCATTAAATAACTCATTGAGGTTGATATACCGTAAAACAAAACAAACCAAACCAAACAAATCATTCTTTTTTAATAATAATATAGTCTTTTATTTTTGGAGTGTGGATTATATTCAATCAATTAATTTCCTGACGAAGTTGATTGATTCAGATTTAGCATTGCATTCAAAGCATAAGCGAAATAGCAAATGGCGAGGAGAAAATAACACAACATTTGAGTATTTAATATTTTCAAAATAGCAGTCTTTTTAATTTCAAACTAGCAGACTTTTCGTTTTCAAACTAGCTGTCTTTTGTATTTTCAAATTAGCAGTCCTTTCATTTTCTAACTAGCAGTCTTTTTATTTTCAAACTAGCGGTCTTTTTTATTTTAATAATAGCACTCTTTTTATTTTCAAATTAGCAGTCTTTTTATTTTCAAATTAGCAGTCTTTTTATTTTCAAACTAGCAGTCTTTTTATTTTCAAATTAGCAGTCTTTTTATTTTCAAACTGGCAGTCTTTTTTATTTTAATAATAACACTCTTTTTATTTTCAAACTAGCAGTCTTTTTATTTTCAAATTATCAGTCTTTTTTATTTTTCAAACTTTTTGACGTTATCTATTCACGTATATTAAGTCTCATTACAATGTTACAATATTTGAGGCAAGAGAAATGTGGTTCTACAGAAGGGTGTTGATAATACCATGGACCGAACATGGGAACAACGACGAAGTTTTAGAGAAAATGGAAAAAAGGACATATACTTAACATCAGGAAGATACAGTTAAAATTTCTAGGTCACATAATGAGGAAAGAGGGCTTAGAAAATATGATACTCACATGACAGATCGAAGACAAGAGAGACAAAGGAAAACAACGCATAACCTACCTAGAGAGCTTGAGTAAATGGATGACAGAACAAGGTTTAGGAAAGATAACACAAAGATAAAATTTATTAAGAGCTAAAAACAATAGGAAATTATGGCGAGCCATGATCACCAACGTCATAAAGCAAGTGATGTAGTTACGCGAAAGTGGCTTATTAATCTTTTTCAAGTATCGTGACATGCAAGTAGTAAGACATTTTGTGAATATATTTGTCCATAAAGGTTACAAGGAGACGTGAATATACGAACTTGCCAAGAAAGCTAACATTACTGAAATGAATTTGGTTAGGTTTTATGGCCTATCAATCATTTCCCGAGTTCTACTGCTTTCATCAACAATAAAAAGTTAGACATGGGTGTGGTTTGCGCAAGAGAAAAAAAATAGGCATATTTTGCCTCTGCACAAAAGTCAAAAAGGTAAACAATGGTTTGGTTTAAAGTCAGAAAGTTAGATATCGGTTTGGTTTGATAAGTGTCAGAAAGGTAGACGAGTTAGCCAAACCTCCAGGTTAGCGAATACATTACTTGTCAACTTCTCTGCCTTTGGGGGAGTGAAACAAAGACGTGGCTATGCCGAAGGTCAGAGTTTCATCCGGGAAGGTAGACAAACCCAACCCCCGTTATTATGGGGTCTGCAGATAATTTTTGCCCAGGCCTACGTGGCTCGGAACGCTCTACGTAAAGAAAAAAATGACCTTGTTCGACATTCCTTTTTGTGGGGAGGACTAGGGTAAATACCGAAACAGAAAGGTAGAAAATAGTTTAGTCTGAACATCAGTCAGAATTGGAGACAATGGTTTGGTTTGGTTTGAGCGTGATCAGAAAAGTAGACAATGGTTTGGCTTGAATGTCAGTCAGAAAGGTAGACAATGGTTTGGTTTGATCGTGAGTCAGAAAGGTAGACAATGGTTTGGTTTGAACGTCAGTCAGAAAGGTAGACAATGGTTTGGTTTGATCGCGAGTCAGAAAGGTAGACAACGGTTTGGTTTGATCGCGATTCAAAAAGGTAGACAATGGTTTGGTTTGAACGTCAATCAGTAAGATAGATACTGGTTTGGTTTGAACGTAAGTCAAAAAAAGAGATAAGGGTTTGGTTTGACAAAGAATCAAAAAGGTAGACAATGGTTTGGTTTGAACGTTAGTCAGAAATGTAGACATGGGTTTGGTTCGCACAAGTGTCAAACTTTTGCGCATTCTTAAATTAAAAAAAAAGTTTAAAGCAAACGATATTTTTTACTTATGTTTATAAATATATTTTTGCAAAATAAAGTCCTTACATTTACCTTGATAAATCCATAAGAAGACAAAACGCGATGGTAAAGAAATGTCTATCCTTTTTCCTTTTGTCTTTATTCGTATATATATATAGTATTTTTGTTATTATTTTTAAATAATATTGCTCGATACAAAAGCAGAGCAAAAATATAATTATTTATTTAAAAATATGATTCCATCGCAACATAAGAGTTCTCATGTTTCAAAACAAGAGCAGAAAACTTCAATATAATTATTTGAATTAAATTGAATTAAAGTACCAAGCTCTGTTCCATCTTCAAGCGAATTTTTTTTTAATAACTAATTACTGAAATTTACGCGTTTTATAAGCATATTCATTATTAAAATTAAAATTATTATGGTAACGGCTAGATCAATTATTTAAAAAAAATGGGGCGTAAGGGTTAATAATTTGTATCCATATATATATATATATATATATATATATATATATATATATATATATATATATATAGGGATTGTATGTAACTTTCTCTGGTGATCTGGCAAAAGTTTGGCAAAGGAAGGACGTTTGACAAAACCAGGTGTGCGCCTAGTGCTTTGTAAACAGTGGGCAGATAATCTTATTCTTGGTGGTGGAACTACAATGGTAAAGTGAAAGAAACACACATACACACAAACGCTAGAGGAAGAGGAGGGTCATATTAAGATGAGTGAGAAGGTTTATATTAGAAAGAAAAAACAAAATGGATACTGGGAAAATGGAGAAAGCAGACAACCATACTGAATGAAAAAAAAAGTTAGAGGACTATTGTTTCTTTCCGCTCTCGTGGATTCAACGCCATCTTGGCATGAGATTTAGCAGTAGCATTTATACTGGTTAAGGTAAGCAATATTCTGTGACTTTAATACGTCAAACATAAAATAAAATATGTAAGGCTGATTAGACCTTGCGTTACACAGGCGTCAATAATGTTACACATATTCAATCATATTTTAAGAAATGGACAAAGTCCGACAATTTATTTATTAAAGACATTTTTTATGTTTAACGTTCTTTTTTATAGATACAAGTATTTAATATTTAAATGTTATTTAATACTGTGTGGACAATATATATATATATATATATATATATATATATATATATATATATATATATATATATATATAATATATTAGTGGACAATATATATATATATATATATATATATATATATATATATATATATATATAATATATTAGTGGACAATATATATATATTAAGAATTGAAAAGTCCGACAATTTATT